TCATAACTATGTACTTAGTTAGTTTATATAAAACCTAGGAGCAGAGAAGAAGATTTTCAAAGAATTCATGTATTTTCACTATATAATCAATAGAGCCCCGCCCTAAAACCAGAACCCCTGACCCTGGGGCCATAAAATTCACAATTTTGGTAGAGGCACTCTTGCTCCTCATAACTATGTACTTAGTTAAATTATATAAAATCTAGGAGCAGAGAAGAAGATTTTCAAAGAATTCATGTATTTTCACTACATAATCAATAGAGCCCCACCCTAACACTAGAGCCCCTGACCCTGGGGCCATAAAATTCACAGTTGTGGAAGAGGCACTCTTGCTCATCTTAACTATATACTTAGTTAGTTTATTTAATACCCAGGAGTAAAGAAGAAGATTGTCAAAGAATTCATGTATTTCCTCTATATAATCAATAGAGCCCCGCCCTGACACCAGAATCCCTGACCCTGGGGCCATAAAATTCACAATTTTGGTAGAGGCACTCTTGCTCATCATAACTATGTACTTAGTTAGTTTATTTAATACCCAGGAGCAGAGAAGAAGATTTTCAAAGAAATAATGCATTTTCACTATATACTTATTTAGACCCGCCCTAGTACAAGAACCCCTGACCCCAGGGCCATGAATTTCACAATTTTGGTAAAGGACTCAATGCTGATTACAATCATGCAAACAGTTTGACTGCTTGATGTCCAGGAGTAAAGAAGAAGATTTTTGAAGATTGCATTAATTTTAGTGGTTTTGGCCCCACCCCCCAGGCCCCAGGGGGGCAGGGATCATGAAATTCACAATTTTTGTTCCCCTTCACCCATAGATGCTTTGTGCCAAATTTGGTTGAAATTGGTTCAGTGGTTGCAGAGAAGAAGCTGAAAATGTTCAAAAGTTTACGACCGATTGACGACGAACGACGAACGACGTACGACGGACGACGACGGACAAAAACAGATAGCAATAGGTCACCTGAGTGACTCAGGTGACCTAAAAAAAAAAAGATAAAATCATTGACTGTCAGAGAGCAAATTAAACATTCTTTAACTTCTTTTAGAATTAAATGTAGTTTTTAAGAAATACTTCATGTACTATTAGTGCTACAAAGTCTCAAACATGAACAGTCCTGAAGTGAAAGTAGCAGTTAAGGGGGATGTACGGCCACCTTTAGTGCTGTGAGAACAAAATGTAAACATTTCTTCAAATGGCTAAAATACATCATATTTTGATCAAATTTTAAGTCCTTATGATAAAGATACAATAAATATTCATGACTGAATGCATGTTGTGCATATATAATCTATACTTTTGCAGAAAAATGCTTTTGATATGCTCTTTAGAACTGCGCAGCTACAGAATTCAGCAGAGCCTTAAAAAATCCAAAAAAATATGCAAACTGTGCATCAATGTTCTCTCTACAACCATTTGTTGAGAAAATGTCTAAATTTTGCACTTTTAAATGATAATTTCAAGTTCAAAACAAGGTATCGTTGTCTTCAAAAAGAGTGTAAAGAACCATGAAAGTAGTTCATGGATAGCAGCACGTGGTTTATTTTTAGCACAGAATTTTGTTTTCCAGACCTCTTCTTAATATGGAGGGACATAACAATCTTTAAATGTAAAAGAGAATTACAGTTGCAAAATATTTCAAATAGTATGAACACTTTTAAAAGAGGAAATGTGTTATAGTGTGGCTTGAAGTAATTTATTTAGTATTATTATCGAACAGTTGTTAAATAATGTACTTATTGATATCAAAGAAAAAAAATCTTAAACTCTTTGATTCCAGGTAAGGAAAAATGAGCACCATCAAAGTTAAGAATTAAGAGTTTGTAAGTTTTCCACAGATAACTTATAATATATATCAAAATTTTAATTATCACCAATGAAACACAAAGAAATTAAACACATAAAATCGATATGAATGACCTACTAGTACGAGGGGTGATCAAAAAGTTCGCGAACTATCTTTATATCTACAAAACCACAATTCAGATTAGAAACAAATTTGGTGCACACATAGCCAAACACAAATTCTATAAAATAGCACATGCTGAATAAAGTTTTGCTCATAATGACGTCATTATGCAGGTTCTTGTGACGACAAATGGTTGCCTCAGTGGAACTCGTTTAACAAACGACTAAAATATTTATGGTACTAGTATATCTTAAAAATGCCTTTGAAGTAGCATATAAGAATTTGTTCATAGTTTATTAAGACAAATGACTTCCTAGAAATTCAATCAATGATTGGATAGATCGTTTTAGTGAAGGAAGGCAGATGATTAAATATGATACTTGTTATATTGCCCAGTGATATATTAGCAAGTTTGAAAAGGAATGTGTTTTTAATTAAGCAATATGCTATCAAAGACCTCCAATTTACACTTAGAAAAATACTTGAATATTTCAACAATAATATAACTATCAAATACATGTACCTAAGATATATCGTTTACTTTTTGATCATCCCTCGTATACTCTGTCAAATAAACATTTACAATTTTGATTTTAGCGGAGCAACATTTGAAAAGGAATGAAATCATTCAGAGTGGGTTAGGAGATTTAATGAATTAAAAAACTTTTTCTATTTGCCCTTTTTGTCAAAATCACAATTTTACAGAGTAAAGGAAAAAAATCAACATTAATAAATATTTTATACCATCTTTAAAATGATGTTTGGTGGTCCTCCCAACTCAGGGGAAAATTATTGGGTCCGTATTTATAGGTGAGAAAAAAAATTCCTAAAATTTTAAACATATTCGTTGACGGAAGAAAAAAAAACAACATGTAATAGGATGTAAAAAAAATTGAGTCGGGCCATTTCTAGGCAGTAGATCGGGAGAGAGGGCAACCAAATATTTTCATAACAAATTGTCTTATAAGGCTAGTACATGTTCCATCACATACTTAGTAATGCAAAATTTTTGAATCTTTGGCACTATTTTGAAAAACAAACATAGGATTTTGTGGGGGGGGGGGGGTAGCCTCTCATTTTTTTTTGCGTGATAGACATAGCATATGCAATGGACTTTTCTTTGCAAACATTGTGCTTGCTTCTAAATTTCAAAGAAACAACTCAATATATTTTATCAAGCTTCGTATGTTCATTGAGCGAGAATGTTGTCAACATAATGAGACGTGATGCGTTTTTATGTCCAAACATTACTCCATACAATGTGTGGTTCATTGCAAACAATCTAGCTATTTATGTGAGGTGCCTGAAGGAAATCCTATAACTGCCTATTTTTTCTATCTAACTGCTAAACAAAATAGACACATGTACCAACTTTTCGAATGTAAGACATGTAATTACAATTTGTTTTTCATGCACCGCATATTGTTTAACATTTTCAAATTAAATGCTAAGCATCCTCCTTGCAGTGCCCCATTTGAAAATAACTTCTATCACCACAGAAAAAAGACCCGCCGTAATCACATATGTTTAGGACATGTTTTATCTTTTTTCTTGAGTTTTAAAGACACCAACAAATCATCAAGACTTGTTCCATGAAAAATTAAATATCATCATGGTAATAAACGCATCTATCCACAGCAGATATATGCACATGCCAACCACGTGCTCAGTGGAATGATATTATCGAGGAAACTCGAGCTGTAAACAGAACAGATTTTCCCGATTTGCTGGAGTGGGGTTAAAATCGCTTTTTTTCATTAATCAGACGATGCAGTGCAACAAATAAAAGTAGTAATATAATTTGGTAGGCCGATCACAGGTTTACATAGGAATATGTAGGAATTTTTTTTTAAAGTCTTCCTCTCCAGAACCACTTGGCCAAGACAGATGAAACTCATGTGGAAGCATCCTCAGGTATAGGGCGGGGCCGCAATGCCAATCACAATTAACATAGGAATAATTTGGATTTTTTAAAATCTTCTTCTCTAGAACAACTTGGCCAGTAAAAATTAAACTTAACGAGAATATACAAGTACGAGAAAATCCGTCGTCAATTCAATGTATAAATAATTGAATAACAATTACAATGTATCTTTAGTAAAGTATAAGTAACTATAAAAGTTAATGTTTGTTTTTCCATTGTTTTTCGAAAAAGACAAGGAGCTCAAATCGGGTGTGACCGGTCGGCATGGGATGCTCAGTCATCCATGGCACCTGATCCATCTATGATATCTTAGCTTATCAGTCTACATCGATTATTTGTTATTTCAGAAATCAAATTGAGTTTTAAACTGTTTGAAAACAAGCATAAATACCTTGTATACATTATCGGATGGGTAGGAATCATGGCAATATTATCTTCTCTAGTCTCCCCATCTGAACATTTTGCTAGAACGTCGTGCAATTATAAAGATGTTTTTATAAATAATTTTTCCCTATTTCGCTGGGTCATGGCTTCACTTTCCCTTCTTATGATTTTGACCCTCATGACCTATTTTATAGCCTTTTACGTTTTACGGAAACGTTTTCTAAAAATATCACCAATAGTACCAGGACACATAAAACAACTGAAGAAAAGACGTTTTGTCAATTCAATGTAATATAACCTAATGATTATTACTTAGTAATTTCTTGTCTTGATGTTATTATGGTCGCATTTATTCTAAAACCAATGCTATTCGAACTCTGTGTGACAGAGAAATGGCGGACGAAATAAACACATGGCCTCAGGAAGACACCCATATGAAAAATCAAATTTTCAAGAATTATGGATAATGACAAGAAAAAAGCGAAACAAATGGTTGTAGCCATATTATTAATGAATCAAACTAACGCTATATTCAATGCATTTTTCATCTCGTGAATGCTGTGGCTGCGCAGTTCTAACATGATTAATTTCCTCCTAATTAAAACAAAATAAACTTAATTATTAACTGATTTTGGTCTCTAACAGTAGGTAATTAGTGCATTAGCACTTTGAGTAACTTTGGGCTAGTTTAGTAGAGTATTAAGCTCATTCTTGGTATTTCTTATTTTACACCAGACTAGATCCAATATGGCTTGTATATCCCCCTTAAAAGTTACAAAATTTAAGGTACTCTTTATGTACAATGTATAATGATTTAATACTCAACGCTATAATAAAATTTATTGCCAATGCTCTCAAATGTCTGAATTTCTGTGTGTATCTCAAAACAAGCATGCTTTATGTCTGGATATTACACAATGTGGGCATAATGGATGGTTGTTGGGTCTGGTCAATCCTCAATCTATCTTGCTTATTTCACTTGGTACGGACTTTTTCTTTGGCTTATCCCAGACACACTGTAAGTCTGTACAGGCCTCTGTGCTTCGGTCCCTGTGCCTTTCACAAAAAACTGGACAATGAGGAAATGAAAGCAACACAATGCTTACATGCTCCATTATATCCTGTAGTAAAAAAGAAGAAATTAGAAAATGTGTATATAATGTTTATAAATTATAATTATGTTTTCAAAATTTATCATCATAAAAACTTGTCATGTACTCAAAAATCAAATTTTTTATTCAATAGCTTTAAAAACAAAATATGAAAAATTTAGGAATATTTCCTACCATATGAAGATGATAACCATTGATTGTCCTGCTTGTAGTTTAATACACATGCAGAACTCCACCGACACTTCTGCATGAGGTAAACTAAGACATCAAAAAGATCCTACGTCTGGTATCTGTGACAAATCTTTGTTCCTATATAAAAATAAAACTCATTCAATTGAAAAACTATTTCAACTTCCAATTCTATTTTCAATATATGTAATTTATATAAATGATTTTATGTAAATAAATGTTTTTAAATTAATTTATTTTTCTTTGTGCTGCCTATATGTTTTTCTAACTGTACGATCAACTAAGTTGTGCTTATGAAATTATTATGTGTTTTTTAATGATTTAACTGAACTGTGAATATTGGCCAGGGTAACTCAATCGGTTTAACACCTAACTAGGGATGCATTTAATGTGTATATCACGTCAATTATTAGACTCTTTGTGTGTTCAAATGAAAACAACGTATTGACTATGATCTGTGATGTATGGCACGTGGAGGGGGCATATTGATTTGTTGTGTGGTGGGTAGGTCACGTTGAGGGGGCACATTAGCATTATGATGTGGGTAGACAGTATAACATCGTTTCAAGCAGTATTCTTTTCGACCAATGAATTTCACAGATTTTTATCAGAGGCAGGATAAAAGAACTTCAACACTTCATACTTTACAGTCTTGTTTTAAATAAAGTAAAGTATTAAAAATATTTGATCATGCTAAATACTCAGTAAATAGCTATTATAATATGATTGATCTTGAAGTAATTTCCATACTAAAGCATGCAGTAAACATGTGAAAAGAACAATTACTTTTAGAGGTGATCTAATAAACTGAGAAAATTTCAACACATCATACCAGTTAGAAACTTGGAATGGCTGACTTGGTCCAATATCACCTTCTCTGATCCAACGTACACTGATCTGCATCGAGTATCGACGTCTACATATTCACCATGAGAATACATCTATAGACATGATAAAAGAATTTTTATAATATGCAACCAGGGTCCCATAAACACAAGGTCCCTGATGCAACTATTAATTAAATAATAGCAGGGACCTATATACTATGTAAGTCCCTGATAATAGAAAAAATATATTTTAACACTGTACAATTTAACTTTGACAGTTTATGTGGCATTTTATTCATAAATTTTACAGCATTATTAATTATAAATAGATACATGTAGTCATGTATGGTGTACCTCAACGCTCAAAATTAGGTTCGTGAGCGAGTTCACAAAGACGAACTACATGTAATGGTTTGGGCCGTGGATATCGGCCTGGATAGCTCAGTTGGTAGAGCACCTGACTAGAGATACAGGGGTCCCGGGTTCGATTCCCGGTCCAGCCTTGCATTTTCTCCTTTCCTGTTACAGATTTGGTGCCGTTGACCACCCCTGGAATTGCAGGTGAAAGTCCTGCCAGGGGCAATAAGAACTTGGGTTGTGTCTTCGAGGGCGAAGACAATTTAACGAGGGAGGAATGTAATGGTTTGGGCCGTGGATATCGGCCTGGATAGCTCAGTTGGTAGAGCACCTGACTACAGATACAGGGGTCCCGGGTTCGATTCCCGGTCCAGCCTTGCATTTTCTCCTTTCCTGTTACAGTAGATCCAAGTTTCTCGCCATACTTCACTGAATTCCTTTGTCCAATAGATAGTTCTGCAAAGCGGGAACAAGCCAGGAGAAAAAAATCACATCTTCAGCCATAACTCCTATTATTTACTAAGCTATTCCGCTTTTTCATGTTTTGTATTGATATTTCAAGAAAACGTCATGAAACCGGAAGTTACCATGAGGAACATTTTAGTAAAGGCGCGAGTAAAAATCGAATAAAAACGGTGTTCCAGCATAACTCGGAACGCAGCTGTTGATTAAATACTACAACAAAATCCAGGAGTTCTCACAACATGACCTGCACCCAGCTTGGCGGAAACGCGGGAAGAGAGAGATCGGTGGGCTCTCGAGCCCGATCCCAATTGCAATTAAACAACACTCCCTAAATACACTATATTCATGAAATTTTATTTAAGTGATGATTAGTATCTGTTATTGTGCTCATTGGATTTAAACATTGCATATTGTCAATAGTTTCCATGGAAACATGGGGAAAATGAAAATTCTTTTACTTTGATTTTTAAATCAAAGTAATGAAAGTACTGATACGAGTTGATGGTTGTCCAAGCTTAGCTAATGGGTATTGTTTAAGTGATACAAAAAATGAAAGTCTTGTCCAGTTCGGGGCGACATACGCTACTGCATGCAATAGCAGACTTTCTAGTTATATTTTTCATTGTACTCAACTTGTGTGCCAAGTTATATTGAAATCGGATAAAAACTGTAGGAGGAGTTTCCTTTTGAAAGTACTTCACAGAAATTTCAATTTAATACAAAAACAGAATAATGTTTCTTCGTATAGTCTACTTGTGTGCCAAGTTATATTGAAATCAGACCAAAACTGTAGGAGGTGTGGCATTTCGAACAAGATGTGTTTCTGAAACACTGATGCCCTCGTATGGCAGCGTATGGCAATGGCTGGATTCTCAAAAATGCATGTCAAACTCCAAAGGTCAAAAATATTTCTACCAGCTGAAAGGTCTTGTCACAATGAATACACCTGTAAAGGATGAAAGCACTAGCTCCAACTGTTCAAGTTATGGTCAAGGTTAAAGTGTGGTATTTTTATGTAAAAGTAGGTCAGACGTCAAGGTTAAGGGGTCATATATTGTGGAACTCATGGAAAGGTATGCACCTGTGAAAAAGGAAAGCCATAACCTCACCCACTCAATAGTTATGGACTAGGTTAAAGTTGACAGCAGAAAGACAGGACAAAAACAATAACCCCGGGGCTTTCGATCCGGGGGCATAAAAATTGTTTACAGACAGACGGGCGGACGACGGAGACATGATTATCGCATAAGCTCTTCTGGTCCCTCAGAAATCAACATATTTTCTAAACTTCCTGTGTCCTCTGTGTATCCCATAACTTAGAATAAAACATGGAGATAACAAACAGTATTCAAGATCAAAAGTCCTTAAAACAATACAAATATCGAGCAGAACAATCACGGACCTCCGAAACATCAGAGGTGGGATCAGGTACCATGGAGGAACAAGCATCCCCTGCCGACCGGCCACACCCTCCGTGTGCTCCTTTTCATGATCAGGAAATAACGGAACAATCCGTCGTCAATTCAGTGTATAAATAATGGACTGATAATTTGTATGAAAAAAGTCAGTCAGCATTTGACTTAATGACAAATTGCATATGCTGACCTGTTCATTGCATCATTGCAGAGAAATCCTTGAATTCAGGTTTTTAAAAATTTTATTTTAACTGAAATGGTGTGCAATAGGGGATGCCTTGCGTCTCGTACACTTACAGGTCTGGAAGGCGTCTGAATGAAGATTTCCTTCATTGCTCCAGAAGGTACCACGAGAACATGTTGAGGTTCTTCGGATCTTTTGGAAATGACCGCTCATCCAGAAGAAATTCCAACCTTTACTTGTTCTGCTATTCACATGTAAGAGGGAAAATACTATAACCTGTCAAGGGCAAGATCATTACATATAGTTGGTGTCTTGGGAAAAATGAACCTTAACTAGCCTGATACTTTCTTATAAGCGGAGATGGTAGACTGTTAGACAGGTCCAGACCACTATTTTATATGGAAGGCATTTTTCAACACGTGTCGATGTCTTCGTCACACCTGTTCTCCAATTAAGTGAATGAGTCGCAAAGCATGTGTTTACGATTCAATGGCGACACGTGGGTTAAGTCGGTGTATAGCATAATATTTACTTCGCCACCGGAAAAACCGTAGAGTTTCTCTATCACTTTATAAGTCTGAAATTGAAAGATTATATTCCAAAGATATTGCTTTATACTCACATTTAATATTTGAGTTGTTTAGGTGATTAATGGTTGCTTCGAATACCGTGCAACCGCTTTGACGTTGCATGTACATAAAGCAAATTTTGTAAATGTGAGCATAGAAATGAAAGACTATACATCATTTTAAATATTTTTTTTCATAAATAAAAAAAAAAGATTGAAAATACGTTTCCAAGAGACAATTCAAGTTGCCCTTCATTTTCAACAAAGCTGAGTACTTGTAGTAGCCCACAATGCATTGCGACTCATTCATCAGTAGGTAAAGTAAACATAGCTAATTTACATGCAAATTTGTGCTGATGTCAGAAAATCTTGTGGTCTCGACCTGTTAAAGAGAAATCCAAATTATTATTAACTGTATTAATTTCCAGGAAGAACTATATACTCAGCACTTGATTGATTGATTACCGAGGGATCGTTTTCCGTGCCAGCACCTACTGCGATACGGTACATCGGTTTGAACGGTCTCATCCGAAGGACCGGTCTCTACGTTCCGCAGTTGAATTCGAACCCGCAACGTAAGGATCAACTCCTTAATTCTTAGAGCAGACGCTCTTACCACAGGAGGTGCTGTCACGAAAAAGATCCCACCCTGCTCAATGGGCTTGCCGTTTGTAGAACGAAAATTTGCAGCTTTCCACCGGCATTAAATGGTGGCGACTCTATGGCTGAAAAATTCTCGGGAGGAAGGTTTAACGATATACAATCAATCAATACGTAAAAGTGGCGCAGTGGTTAGAGCGTCTGCTCTACAGTCGCGAAGTAGAGAGGTGATCCTAACGTCGCGATTTCGAATCTAACTGCTTGACGTGAAGACTGTATAAACCGAGGTCCCGTGTTGCAGTGGGTGCTGGCACATAAAAGATCCCACCCTGCTCAATGGCCGTAAGTGCTGTGTATAGGACAAAATTTGCAGCACTCCACCAGCAAATGTATTTTTTTTCAACAGAAGATGGCGTGAACTCAAGTGATATTAATGACACTTCCTATTTGACTTTCTACAGCTTGAGTATCTCTGATGTTTTGTCAGTATATACTTGTGTTTAATTTATCTTCAGTTCTCAGATATAAAAAATGATCTGCACAAAATGTTTTTTATACTTCAATTAGCCACAGGGTATGATGTTAATAAAAATAAAATATCCTTTTGATTTGGTTGTTGGGTTTTTGTAATTTTAAATAGTCGAAAATCCTCGAAAATGATATTTTCACGTTTTTGCATATCTGGATTATCTTCCCGGTACAGTGTCTCTGGAAGTCGAGTTTCTGCTTAAAAACATCAGATGCCAAGCCTGGATTCATGCAGATCGAACAACTGGAATCACTGAATTTTTTAAATACAAAATTAATAAGACCCGAATGTAGTGTAAGGTTCCATAAAGGCTTTGAACTCTGGTATACAAAGTAAGAGCAAATTGAGCCACTTTAAAAAAATTGTTAGGTTGCCCACTCCCGACGACAGACCATACGAGTAAATGGCCCAGCTCCAAACTTCTTTTTGAATTCCAGGACATTTTTTTTCTTTATTTCTTTTATCCCGTCAACAAATATATTGAAAGAGTTTGAGCAAATGTTGATAAATATACCCGAGTTGACACTCGCAACAGAAGATATATGTATTATGTTGACCATACCATTTCCCAAAGGTGCACATTTTATCAACTGTTTCCGCATCAAACCAATTATTAAGAATATGTTAGGCTGAATTCAGAATTGATAATATCCTTTCAGTAGGATTTTTCCAAGACTTCATAAGTGGAGTTCGAACAGCAACAAGCATATCGTACCTTTACTATTTCTACTGGAAATCACCAAAAATGAAAAAGTCATTAAAAAAAGTCATTTACAGCATTAAACCAGAGGTGAGATTTAAGTCTTTTAAAGAGGCCATTCTCAGAACTCGAAAATGTTTTAAAACTAACAGGAAATTTGTATGGCATTTCTTGAATTTCAGGAAGATTTTACCAGTCCGTGTATGTGGCACTAGATAGTTGCCTCATGTCAATAAAACCTTGAACACCTTTTTCAAAGGTTACATGTATGCTGACATCCGTCAACAAACGGAAAATGCATCCCATACCAGTCCAAAGGCAGATGGCTCAGCTAAATTTATGAAAGATGGGAA